TCACCTCTGTGCCTGGCAAGATCATGGAGCAGATCCTCCTGGAAACTATGCTAAGGCACATATGGAAGACAAGGAGGTGACAACCAACATGGCTTCACTAAGGGCAAATCAGGCCTGACAAATTTGGTGGCATTCTATGACAGGGGTACAGCGTTGGTAGGTAATGGACTTGTGCAAAGCATTTGACACTGTCCTGCATGACATCCTTGTCTCTAAATTAGAGATATAGATTTGACGGATGGACCACTCCGTGGATAAAGGACTGGATGGATGGTTGCGCTCAGAGTTGTAGTCAATGGCTCCATGTCCAAGCGCAGACCAGTGACAAGTGGCGTTCCTCACAAGTCAGTGTTGGGACTGGTGCTGTTCAGCATCTTTGTCAACAGCACGGACAGTGGAATTAAGTGCACCCTCAGCAAGTTTGCTGACAACACCAAGCTGTGTGGTGACACGCCACGCTGGAGGGAAGGGGTGGCATCCCAATGGACAGGCTGGAGAAGTGGGCCACTGCCAACCTCATGGAGTTCAACAAGGCCAAGTGCAAGGTCCTGCACCTGGGTCGGGGCAATCCCAAGCACCAGGACAGGCTGGGTAGAGAGTGGATAGAGAGCAGCCCTGAAGAGAAGGACTTGGGGACACTGGAAGATGAAAAGCTGGACATGAGCCGGCCGTGTGTGCTGGCAGCCCAGAAAGCCAACCGTATCCTGGGCTGTATCCAGAGAAGTGTGGCCAGCAGGGTGAAGGAAGGGCTGCCCAGAGAAGCTGTGGATGAGGCCTTGAGCAACCTGGTCTAGGGAAAAGTGTCCCTGCCCATGGCAGGACAACTGGAATTAGATGATCTGCAAGGTCCCTTTCAACCCAAACCATTCTGTGATAAAATATAACTCAAGTCCATGCACTGTATTACCCATCTTAGTAATTACAGTCTTTGTATTTTAGAACAGTTTTTAATTTCCCTCAAGAAATGATATCGTTCTTCTACACAGAAATCAACAGAAGCTCTTCATTTCATACCCTCCCTTTCTATATCTGCCTGAAATCTAGCAGTCTTAGTTATTATTAATGACATTTGTGTTTTTAATGTCATTCTAGCTTCCATAGAATTGCAGCTTGACAAGTTGGGAAACGAAATACTAGGTAAGTAAGTATAACATTTAATTTATCCAGACATTTACTTCCCTAACAGTTGTGTACTAGCATGTTAATACATACAATGTCTATTCTTGATTCAGCAAAAAGCATTATCGAGTCTAGTGGGTGATAATTTTTAAAAAATCATTTTGGTATCAATCACTGATAATAGGTATTTTCATTATTCATTGAAGGCATGATTGAAATTTATTTAAATAAAGGTCTGCTGCTTTCTGATTTAATTAAGTTAGCTATGCAAGAGTAATTTCACTCTGAATTACTGAGTATCTTGCATTAACATCAGTATTCCACATGACTTAGCCTTATCTACTGAAGGCATGGACACCACTCTGCTCTCAGGAAGAATTTCTACTCCCTAAAGCACAGGTGACAAAGGTTGGGTTTGTTTGGTTTTGTTTTCCCTCATGAAACATACGTAATTTTCACATAGAAAGTTCAATAACTACTGAGATAAAGAAGTGGCTGTTGTAAAATATGAAAACATAAGATGGTACTTGTCGTTTATTAAAGATGACAACCACACATTTACTCAGCTTCAGCAGTGTGCAGTGTTCAGGGCCCTGTCTCCAATGGTACATATAAACATGCTGATGTGCTTTACCAGGAAGTTATCCTTTCCCAACCCTTTCCCAAAGCCAAGTTACATCAGCTGTTTCATTGAGAGACCACAGACCACGTAGCATATCTGCTGATAGACAGAAGGCAGACTTCAGTGAAAATCCTTACAGGTGATTCCATCAGCTGTTTTCCAGGTTACCCATAATACCAAGGAAAAGTTGTATTTTACTTATATCACCTGATCATCCTTCCAAGAAGTCACTTGCTCTTCTGTAAGAGCAGCAGCTACTGCATGTGATAGAGAGAAACAAGAAACTGCACAGCTCCAAATGCTGAACGCAGCAGTCACACAATTCTGCTGGTTAACCTTTTTCTTTCCTCTCTCCTAGGGTAAATAATCAGTAACCAGGACAGCATTAAGTACCCTGCATTCCATTTTCCCAGCCTATAGAGGAAACCGGCACATGCCTAGTCATACCCTTGATAGTTGGAAGCTGCTGCCCTTGTTCCTACCAACAGTTGTCATAAAATTTGGTTCCTACACCAAAAACATAGTATGAATCTCTCACGAAGATATTCCATGCCCTCCCTCCCACAACTATTGAGTCAGAAAAAAAAAAAACCAGCACTGTCTTTTCAGATGCAGGGATCATTCTACTTCCATACCTTTGTCTTTTGCAGCCACTTTGTCTGTGCTCATCTGTTTACGACCTGCTGGCGCTGGGCACACACCTTGTCTGTTGGCACAGATCTATAAGAGAAGATTGGTTTTGGTGAAACATCACACTTCCCAAAATGAAGCAGCCTGATTTCTATCATCTGTCCTAGAGGTCAGTAAAACAAATGGTCAAGTAAATTGGCACAAAGGGCTTTGAAAAGTAGGGAAATAAGGATAACTAAAATAGGTCATTTTAGACATCCGTTGACATGCATTATCCAAAATTAAAAACTTGTCAAAAAACAAATGCAGAAAACCATTTGAGAAACAGTTTCAGTTTACTATGAAGCTAGGTGCCAATTATTACTGCATCTTGGTACGTATTAGGTGCTTGAAAAAAGTTTTCACAGGGGGAGAAATCAACATTAGAAGAATTAGAAGAAGCTGTGGATGACCCATCCCTGGAAGTGTCCAAGGCCAGGCTGGATGAGGCTTGGAGCAACCTGGTCTAGTGGAAGGTGGCCCTGCCCATGGCAGGGGGGTGGCACTGGGTGGGCTTTAAGGTCCCTTCCAACCCAAACCATTCCATGATTCTATGAATATTAAGTCAGTCATCCCTTTGTAAATTTATGACTGGAAATCCTTCAAATGCATTAAAGGTTTTGTAAGGCAAGATTGCTAGATTCAAATCATAGCTCCTTTTACAGATTGCTCCTGGTGAAATTCCTCAAAAACCCCTACTTTCTTAATACAAGTAACAGCAGATGGGGCTGCCAAGATTCACAGTAAAAATATGCCGTCATTGACGGCAGTTTGACTTGGAATGCTGTTCTGAGCAGTAAAGATAAATCATGGGTATTGCCTGTGGTATCTGCATCCCAACAAAATCCATCTCCATTTATAAGGCTTTGAAGAAAAACTAGATAGAAATTTCCATAAATGCTACATACCAACTTTGACTGTTAGCCCCTGGGTTTACCCATTTATAATACCGAGTACAGTATGGAAAAGGCAAGGCAAAAAACCTCTTGCTGATAGAATTCTGCGACAAAATAAAACACACAGCTCCATGGCCAGCTGGTTGAAGAGTATGTAAATGTAGCAACAGTGGTCCTGAATACATTGATGCGAGATGAAAGGCTTCACAGATTTTTTTGAAACTTAAATATCATGTCAACTTTATGAAAGTAAGATGCCAAAATAGCAAAATAAATAGTATTTCAATAGTTACGTCCACCAGATCTTGTCACTGCATAGACTCCAAGAAGTCAAACGAATATCACAGTTGGGCTCACTCAATCCCTCATCTTTTAAACAGGTTGATAAATAAGGTGGCATGGAATTTAATACACAAGAATATTTCTAAGTTCAGCTTGAAAAACAATGGTTCTTTTCTACTGTAACGAGTTTTTTAGGATGCAGTCAATTTGCTGGGTTGCCTGCAACATTTTGATGCTAGAATGTGGTCTAGGAGAATGAACTGACTTTTTATAATCTGCATTCAGGGCAGATTTTCAGCATTCAAGAAAGGTTCTCCAAGCCAAACACAAAGCATATAACTTCAGGCTCACTACCACCTCTACTCTTAACTTGCAATCCTTGCCGACCACTATATTCTGGATTGAAAGAGAGATCCTGAGGATCAGGGCACCTTTCTGTGTCTGGACTGATCTAATTAAACTCTTTCAGTTCAGCACAATGAGGTCTATCAGATCACTGAAAACTTTTCTGACCTAAACTGTCTCTCTCACCAGGAAAACCCCCTTAGAGATGGCACTCGACATGCAAGCATACAACTCTGAGTCATTGTCTGAAGGATAATTGCATCCTTTTCTCTAAAGTTGTTTGCTGATGTTTATATAAAAAACAAACCGTAGAGTGCTTCGATGCCGTTGGTATCACAGTTTTTTCTTCTTGGCTCTTGGCCTTTGATCGAGTAATCCTCCCCGAGAAAGCAGGAGCTGCCTGGAAACATCCCCAAGGAAATATGAGTTAATACACTGCTTTTTTTCTCCTCGACACTGTTAGAGCAGGCAAGAAGCCTAAGTGTGAAAAGCAACAGCACTTGAGAGTCAAAATGCATCAAGTGTGTAATTTGAAGAACTTCTAAACTCAGGTGGACTAAATAGGAACAATTATCAGTTCTAAATTAACTTAACCCTTTCATTTGTGGATGAACTACTGCAGTTTTTGAGCAGAGAATATAGTCATAAATACAAAAATCAACATATTACTGGTATCATTTCTTGCAGTTTTAAAAAAACTGAGCCAAAATACTCCCTGATTATTCATTATAAAATAATAATTAATAAAAAAATGTAAAGTTTTTCCAAAATAAACTGGTTAGTTTGCACAACACAAACGATTTCATATAGATATAGAAATTTTAATATAGCGCACTACATATACTCCATTTAGATACTTAATATTACTCCTATTACCTTCTCTCTTGGCTTCACTATCACTGGATCTTCAGGTATAAGTGACAGAAATCCAGGCACAGTTGGTCGATATAACCCAACTTTAAAAACACCCTTTTTTGCCTTCTCTCTCTGCTCTTTCAGTTTTCGAAGTTCCTTTTCTTCTTTATAGCGCTGGAGCATTTCCTTGCGTTCATTAACCCTCTTGGTGGCTGCATTTGTAGATGGTTCTGAAGGAAAGATGGAAGACAGACGTGCTACAAAATCTTGAAGACACTTTTCAGCCAACAATAAACAAAGCAGAAAACGTAAAAACAACTTCTCTGAGACAGAAGAGGAACAAACAAAGTCAAAGAGCAGAGACTGTCCGGATCTGTGCCTGCGAGTTTCACAAGTCTTACGACGTACATGCGTGTGACCTATTAGTAGCTTGCTAAAAGTTTAAATTCTCCTAATTGTTTCAACCTTTCCCACTAAAAGAGTATTCCGTGCTAAACTTCAACTTGCAAATTCACCTCCCTAATTAGCACCTGAGGGATACTGGAAATTATTAGCTATTTTACACTGTACATGCTGTTCCTGCAAGGTTACCAGTATTAAAGTTTACACGTTAATTACTTAGTTAGTTTATTTGTACCAGTTTCTTTATTCAAACATTTGTATTGTCATTGAAAGCTGAAGTTTAGGTCAGCTTTAGATACCAAAGTCTGCCTCAAGCCAAGAATAAATGAGGCAGAAGTTACAGGAAAGAATAAAACCTTAAGATGACGCAAAACTTGAATTACATCTGAAAAACTATTAAGTACTTAAAGATAAAACTTATTCAAGATAATATATAAATTTCTTAAATTTCATATTTGACATGATGACATAGGGGTCCCACCACTTCGTCCAATAATCTTCTGCTATCGAAATAGTGATTGTAAAAACATTTCTAAAGAAATCTGTTGAAGTTTTTAAAGATTAACCTAAGTCTTGAGGCTATATGAATCCAGGAGAGACAAGGAAGCAGAATTCAGTATATATACTGGTCCCATTTTCTGGGAGGAAAGATAAGTCGACCAAAACTCAGAGTTTTAAAAATCATACCATGCATTTACCCATTTGTAATTATATATACCCAATTATAATATACAATTACCCATTTCTAAGCATACTTTTAGTACGTGGCAGTCAGCAGTTATACTTCAGGCAGGATTTTAGATGAGTTTTTCACTTCTTGAATAACAAAGCAATCGTGAAGAGATTTCCCACTGAATATTAATAGCAAAATGCATTCTTCCTTTAGCTGAGGCAGACAAATCGAGCAAAGCCTCGTTCACACCACCAGAGCAGCAAGGAGGATACAGCTGTATTAAGACTTTATTTTCTTGATTTTCTTAACAGTTAGAACTGGTAGTCATTGGGTTTTAATTCTTAAACCTTTTCTTCAAGATAAAATGCTGGTCAGGTTCCTGTGGTGTTACTAAATCTACTTAAAGACACTTTTAACAATTAAAGCTTTACAAGCCTTTACTTACTCTGTTTTACACTGCTGTTCTCTTGAGAGCACATTTCGCTTGTCTCATTCAGTTGGGACATCGCCCCGTCTTTTGAGAGCTGAACACTGGCATCTCCCAATCCAAGCTGTCTGCCCTTTTCAAACAACTTGTGCCTGTTCTCCTTCTGAAGCATCGACTTTCTGCGGGCAACTTTTGTTCTGAGGGCTTCTGTACTCAAATCTTTTTTGTATCGACTGGTGAAGTGGGAGGTTGCAGACATCTTGACGACCTTAGACAAAAATCGTAATGATTAGGACAAAAGCTGTCATGGTTTTGTTTTGCCCTTTTCATGAGAGTTTGCATGTTATGAACAAACAAAGCCCTAGGTTTTTCCTTCCTGTATGCCTACCAGAGAAAACGCAAATGGCAATTTCAGTAATGACTCTCCACCATTTTTCTTTATTTTATGCATTCAAGGGGATATTTTGTTGGTTAAATGGTCAACAAGTCCGACACAGAATTAGTAGGGGACGCTGTGTCGCTGCCAGGGATCGTCCTGCTGGTCTGTTTTCAAAACAGATGGTTTTCATGTTAAGGAGACAAGCAAGTAAATGACAAGGTTGTAGGACAATACTTGGAAGCAACATTGCCAGTGAGCGTGCAGATTACAGCCTATCTGATGGCAAGGCATTTTCGTCATGCTTCAGAGTACTTGGCACCATTTCCCAACCAAGTTTCCAGGATGCAACTGCAGTACAATAGCGTTTCTTTCGAGCAGGATTTCTCCCTACTTTTTTGACCTGGAGAAGACTTAACACAAACAGCAGTTGGTCCATACATGCTTTGCTAAGTAAAAAATTCCATTCTCTGCTTTTTTTTTGAAGCCTGTCTGCTCAAGGGGTTTTTCATGCTTTCTTCCAGGAGAGAGGTCAGGACCAATTCATAAAATCATGGAATGGTTTGGGTTGGAAGGGACCTTAAAAAGCCCATCCAGTCCCACCCCCTGCCACACCTTCCACTAGACCAGGTTGCTCCAAGCCTCATCCAGCCTGGCCTTGAACACTTCCAGGGATGGGGCACCCACAACTTCTCTCTCTCAATTGGTCTTACTCCGCCCACCACTTCAACCAGGGTCTTTTAGAAAACTCACCCTCCATTACTTATAAAAACTGGTTTTACAATAAGGAGAGTGATAGAGCTAAACTAAGTAGCCAACAGATATTAATTTATCAGTAAATTGGCCATTTGCTGAGGTTCTTAATTTCAAGACAAGAAGCTCTGATCACATTAAAGGAATCATTAGTGAACTGGACCAAAAACACCAGCCTTGACTGTGGGTGCACAGGATTTCTCAAAGTCAATCCCCTCCCATCTCCATTTGCTACCAAAAGCATCTGAAAACCCCAGATGTCAGGAGAAAACGAGTACCAAAATAAACAGATCACGGAAATAAACCATATATACAACTTATGGAAAACACAAGGAAGGACAGAATCCACAGCTATTCTAAGAAATAATATAGACAAAGTCCCTTCAGGTACCATCAGTGCTGACAATGGCAGCTCCTTGTTCCCCACTTCACTGCAGTATTCATGGAATAACTTGCATAGCACCAACAGTACCTGCACAACCATCTGGAAGTGCTTAGAATAACTGGAGATAACATATGAGTCAGAAATCTAAATGCATATATTTGGCCTTTCCCCTCCTCCCCCCCATACATTCAGTGCTGCAGGAGACCAAAATGGTCAATAGAAGTTAAATGAGCAAAGGGAATAAAACCAAAAACTCAGTTTAAAGCGTTCAAATCAGCAACTGGATCTCCTCCATCCATCTGGAAGTGCTTAGAATAACTGGAGATAACATATGAGTCAGAAATCTAAATGCATATATTTGGCCTTTCCCCTCCTCCCCCCCATACATTCAGTGCTGCAGGAGACCAAAATGGTCAATAGAAGTTAAATGAGCAAAGGGAATAAAACCAAAAACTCAGTTTAAAGCGTTCAAATCAGCGACTGGATCTCCTCCACCTCCACATCATCCTGGAAGAGCTGGTGCATGTTGGTGCCACCCGATTTGTGAATATCTTGCTTTTCAACCTGCATATTACATTCCAACTTCCAGAAATTGATTAAAGATGCCAGTTAATTAACACAGATGGCAAATGATTGTCGGCAACATGGACAGTATTTGATAATTCCCATGGCATTACAAAAAGTCATGAAGAAAACAGGTAGTGAGACATATCTCTACTAACTAGTAAGAAGCAGCAGGCTTTTTGAAGCCAGTGGATGAAAATAATTTGTAAAAGTAGCAGCTAGCATCAGGTCTCTACACCCATCTTTGTGGGATTTCAGGACAAAGTCCCTAAATTTACCTGAAATATCACAGAATGGTTTGGGTTGGAAGGGACCTTAAAGCCCACCCAGTCCCACCCCCTGCCATGGGCAGGGACACCTTCCACTAGACCAGGTTGCTCCAGCCTGGCCTTGGACACTTCCAGGGATGGGGCATCCACAGCTTCTCTGGGAAGCTGTCCCAGGGCCTCCCCACCCTCTCCGGGAAGAATTTCTTTCTGATGTCCAATCTCAATCTCCCTCTTTTAGTTTAAACCCATTACTCCTTGTCCCGTCACTTCCTGCCCCTGTAAAAAGCCCCTCCAGGCACTGGAAGGTGCTCTGTGTTCTTTAAGTACGATATTCTAAGCTGTTCTAATATGCCCTTTAAGTACAACAACAGTCCTTTCATTTGTGCATGCACAATTTTAAATTCAGTGTCTTGATGTAAAGTAACAGCCCATATCCACACAACAGACATTGCTATCTACCAGGCAAGCTTACAGAAAGATGCATTTACCTTAAACGTAGGTAAACCTTCTTTGAACAATATCTGCCTAGCTAGCGCAGTATAAGTCTAGTGAAGGCGTTTCCTCATGAATAGGCCTCTAAAGCAAGCGATGCATTGTTTCAGTAAGTAATCCTGCAGGAGAATTCACCTGAAACTTAAAGAAGGCAAGTATAAGTAGAGATACAGAGAGAGCTGCCCACATAAAGGTATTATCAACTCACACCCCAGGTCAGCAAAAGCAACACGAGATTAGTCATTATTTCTTTGGGCTCATTAAAAACGTACAGCGTGCTCAATGACCTAAACATCTCCTTAGGACAAAAATACTTGTCTCCTTTTCTTTGGGGGTTATGGTTTCCAAGTAGTACCTTGCCCAGACAGCAGACATAACTGGCATAAATCTAAGTGGAGACTAGTAAAAGGAAAGGGACAAAAGATTGATGGTTTTTCAACCAAAGTTAAAAATGAAAGTTTGCAGGATTGATTTTTAGACTAACAGAGAAATAAAAAGGTAGGGAAAAGAAGCATTTTTGACCAGCACCGTCACAGAAGCCAAAAGGGCACGGAAGACATTTCGGTGCACACTTTGCACCTTCAGCCGGAACGGTGACAGGCAGAGCAGGAAGAGCAAACATCGCTGTTTGTAAAGCAGGAACCCAGCAAGTTTAGAGGCTGCGTAAGGTCTGGACTCAACGGTTTCGAGACAGGACCCCGGCACTCACGAGAAACTGACCGTCTTCCAGGGCCCTGCTTCCCACCGCGGCAAGTTTCGCCTCAGCTCCCTCTCCCCACAGCCTCGCCCTGCTT